GCCCCGCTTGACAGATCCACCCGGGTTCGGCGTGATGCCCATAGATTGGTTGCAGGTTATGTTCATAAATTGGCAGGCTACGTCGGTAAATTACTGGCAGGTAATGTCCATATTCGTGGCAGGTTATGTGCATAAATTAGTGGCAGGTTGTGTCCATAAATTTAGGGCAGATTATGTCACATATGTCCATTAAATAGCAACACTTCTGCTATGATGCTATGACACAGTTTTGGGACACTCTTACAAGACGCTACTACTGGAGATGAGCCCTAAATTGAGCATACCTGACATGCAGGCAGGCACTCTTGCCACGGCACTCTTGTATAAACTCTTTTCCAAATGTTTTCCATGTTGCAACCTTCAAGCTTAAGGTTCAAGAAAATTCCGCGCGCAGCGCGGGAAATTTTTTTCTGTAAGTATTCACGCTACGGTACTATAAGCAAAAACAGTGTTTCATGAAACTTTTCTGTAAGCATTCATGCTGCGGTACTATAAGCAAAAACAGTGTTTCATCAAACTTTTCTGTAAGTATTCATGCTGCGGTACTATAAGCAAAAGCACCATTTCATCAATTTTTTTTTGTAAATATTCACATCTGTTTGCTTTCGGTTTCAAAAAGTTTGCAACAGCGTTACATTTTTTCATGCCTTTGGCACTGTCAGCAACTACCAGTTTGCTTCAAAATGTCTCAATCTGTCCCAATATGTCTCAAAATGTCTCAAAATGTCTCAAAATGTCTCAAAATCAACTCAATTTTTCTCAAAACTCATTTTGAGACATTTTGAGACATTTTGAGCAATTTTGAGCAATTTTGAGCGGATTTTTGGGGCAGGTATGCGACATTTTGAGACATTTTGAGTTGATTTTGAGCAATTTTGAGCAATTTTGAGCGGATTTTTGGGGCAGGTATGAGACATTTTGAGACATTTTGTTGATTTTGAGCAATTTTGAGCAATTTTGAGCAATTTTGAGCAATTTTGAGCGATTTTGAGCGATTTTGAGCGGAATTTGTTCGGCCAGCAATTTGTATATTTGAATAGTCCTTTCAATCTACATGTCATTCCTGCACAATTGGAATTCACAAATTATGGAGATTGAAGCTAGGTCGTAACGTTTTTGCCAATTTTATTTTAATATTTGTTTTAGTCTAGACGCAATCCTTAGGCCAATTTTGAGCAAACTTTTCTGGCCAGGCCCATTGCGTTTGAATACTTGTTTTGGTCTATAGCAAGCCATTTTCGAGCAATTGAAAAGATTTTGAGCAATTCTACCCACATACCATCCATATTTTATCCATCTATTATTCTTAATTTAGCGTCCATATAACACATTCAATATCGATTTGCGATCAACGTGTTATCCATAAGTTATCCATGTTTTATCCATGTATAGTATCCATTCATTGTCCATTTATTATCCGTTTAATCATTGTTTATCCATTTGTTGTCAATTGTTTATTCATGTATTTGGCATTAATCATGCATTGGATTTAGCTATTATCAATCTATCATCCATTAATTATCCATTTACTACCCATATATCACCACATATTGTCTTGTGCTCGTCCGTTTGTTATCGATGTACTAGCAATTTATTTTCCATGTATTTTCCATTCTGTCATCATTGTTTCATCCATATGCCATACATATATCGTCCAATATTTTTTTTTATTGCTTCCATATATTATCAGTTTCCTTCCATAAAGTTTCACATTTCCGTCCAAATGTCCAAATATTATCCATTGTTCAGCCATTATATCCAGCTATTATCCATTTGGCTTTATGCATTATCCATGTACCATCCATGCTTTATCCATATAAGAATACTATCCCTTTTTTACCAATTGTTCATCCATGTGCTATCCATCGGAAATCCCTCCTCCAAGATGTTTAAAGTTGAAAAAAGGCAATGCGAAATCCCTCCTCCAACAAAAGGCCAGCGTCTGGGACCAAAAGCAAGGGCAGCATTTTTCAGTATAGACTCAACATAAGGCCAGTATCTAGGACCAAAAGCAAAGTAGAAAGATAGGCCATACAAAATTCCTTGTCCAATCTGTTTGAAGTAGAAACAGGCAATACGAAATCCATTTAATTTTTTATAAATTGAGTATCCATTTATAATCCGTTCATTTCCTGAGTTTCCATTTATTTCCAGTTTACTCGCCAAATATTTTCCAAATTAAATCAAATATGTAGATATTATCAATTTAGTGTCCACGTATTTTCTTTATATTATCCATTTATCATCCACTCATTTTCCATGTGTTATCAACGTATTTTTTACAACTTATCCGTTTATTATCCATACAGCATCGGAAACGACGTACGGCATGGAAAACAACAAATGCAACAAGACTATGCGCAAAATCCTCCACAAATAAAATAAAGTGCGACGTTGATTATTGAACATGCGTGTATTATTGTAAAAATACATCTACATATATATATATATATCTCTCTCTCTCAAATATATATATATATACATTTGTGTATATATGTTCCTTTTGCCCATTGCATGCCTACGCAGAATCACACATGTGTGCCAACATGTGTCAAAAAACGAGCCTTCAAAACAAACCTTACAAAACCACAGTCTCCACTGAAACTTTGTTCCCTTAACTAAAGTTTGTTTCTTGCGCAAACAAACCTCAATTACTGAAGAACAAACCTCAATTAAGGAAACACATCGTAATTAAGGTTTGTAAACATAAATGCTAATTAGTTAGTGCCTTTTTCAAAGGATAGGTATGTGTGCACGTCCACACATATTGACTTTTCAATTTCCAGGTCCACAACCGTATGCATGTATACACTCAAGTGTAAACAGGTATGCCAGTAGATATTCAACAATGTTCACGGTTAGATACTGTTGTAAAAGCACGCTTTTATTATATAAAAAACGTTTCATATCTATGTTCTGCTTGTATATTTCATTTCCTGCGTACACATGGTAGCGTTAAAAAAACGTTTTTGTTTACACATGTATTTCTGCTTGCGTACATAAGACATATGTGTAATTTTTTTTGGTGCTGGCCAGTGTTGGCAATGTGACTATATGCTGGCGCAGCGATCAAACATCAAACTTTATACATTACCCAACGAATGAAAAATGTTATTCCCTTGAAAATATTCATTTTTTCTACTTTTGAAGTTGCTGACTTGTTCGTGTTCACATGTTAGGTGGCAGCCTCATGACAATTGACCCAAGTGACAAAGGCTATTCACAACGGCAACAATGACAACACCATATTTCATGTCAGTTCAAGCTTTGAACAAAAACCAATGAAAACACACAAACGCAATACCAAATTTCATTTCAAAGGTTCATTTTTTGGTTTTTGGGTTCAAAGTTGTTCAATGTCACGTTTTCAAACCTGTGAAACACGTTGATGTTATCACGATGCTAGCACGAGTCACTTTTGGCTCAAAATAGCTCAAAAAGTACTTTTTGAGATGCCCAAAAATCCCTACAAATTAATCTCCCCACAAGCTGGTCGCCATTCCGAAGTTTGTGAGCCAGGAGTGGCTAGTTGGGAAATGCGAAGGAATCCCCGAACTAAGTGGGTATTCACATTGGAAATTCATCGAACTAAATAGGGATTTCTCCACCAAACCATGTTTGATTACGGTACCCGTATGTTATTCCGACAGTCTCGATGTCGCAGCGCGCAGGTTCATGATTGTCCCTATAGGTGCCCTAACTGCTGATGCATTCGATCGTACACACAAAATCAATTCGTTGATATACCTTTTCCTCTATGTTTCCATAGCTAATTGAATGCTAATGATACGAATGTCCGTCCCTCACCATGGAACCTCAAGAAATTTTGAAAACTGATTTGGGTGTGTCTTGAAATTGAGGTATTCCCTTATTCACGATGTTTTAATGAGAATACCATGAAAAAATCTGGACCCCACCATCATTTCCATGGCTGACGTGGGTTCGACGGTAGGACAGTCGGAAGCCTTCAGCTTCAGAATGGCCACTTGGAGATGAAAACCTGGGGTTTCTTGTGGAAATCCGAATATAGGAGCCTTTTGGTAAAGTCAGGAACCAATATAGGGGTTTCCAGAAATAGGGGATCCCCGAAATGGTTGGTTTATAATGGAAAATCCTGTTCAAATGGATGATTTGGGGGTACCCCTACTTTAGGAAACATCCATATGGAAACCCATGGATGTTCAGAGGAAAATAAACTGGAAATGCTGGTTGTTCCATAAATTTACAGCTAGCCCATGTTGGGATTGCCAGTCGCAAGGTGATTTTGGCCACCCAAACCGGCGGCAAGCATGGAGCTGGCTTCCGAAAAGCGAAGGGAAGGGGTAGCATCGATGCTCGACACAATGGGAGATGGATCGATAAGGGGGTTTCTTAAAAATATGGGTGCCCAAAGCCATTGGTTTCCCAATTATAATAAACAATTTTGGATGCTTTTGGGGTACAGTACCATTTTAAGAAACCTCCCTTATATGGCCGGTGCATGAAGACGCACGAGGTTGACTTGCTTGCTAGTTGGATCATACCAGGTTCCTAGATTTTTATACAAGAGCTATAAGAGCTAGCTGGATGGTTTAGAACCTATGATACCATATTGTGGGCTGATGAACCGTGTTGATGAATTTAGTATCATTTATTGGTTATTTTGGCGTTCACCCGGCCATGGTTTTGACAAAACTGGTCATGTAGGATAGGACCTAATAGGCTGCGGGACACGGTGCCATTCTTCTCGCAGCCGGCAAGGTCAAAAAGTTGGTAAACCTCACTGGGTCTGTCCAGGAATGAAATGAGGTATGCCCTCTGGCAATTGAACAGTTTGGCATGGAAGACGATGAAATTCAATTGGCAAATCATCAAACTAAATGGGCTATGTTCTTTTTTCCATAGCTATTCTAAATTCTCAGGGGGTTTATCAATGTTTATCGCATAGGTTCGCAGTGTTGAATGGAGACCATGATAATGTACCGATGGTCCAGTCCCTACCTTTTTAAGGGCAAACCCAGTTGGCCGCGGCACTGCTGGTGCTCCTGGCAGCGCAAATCTGCGGGGGCTGGGACCTTGCACTGGCGGCGCCCGGCCGCAAAGCCAAGCCGAAGCTCCAAAGCCTAGCACCGCCGAAGCGCGCGGAGCAAAGCGCGGAGGCAGATCTCAATGAAGAACTAGAAGCCCTACCTTTGCAGGTGCTTCCAGGCAAAGATGATCAGAGTAAAAGAGCCGAAATTTGGAAAGCTGCAAATGGTTTGTGTTGAGGCGCTGGGCGACGGCAATCAGGTGTGGCCCTTTGGTTCCAGTGCCAACGGATGTGGGGAAGCCGGCTCTGACCTAGACATGCTGGTATCTGCAAAGGAGAACAAGACTTCCAAGGGCAAAGCTGTGAATGCCTTGCGGAAAGTTGCTGATGTGGGAATTTGGGCTTTGAAGTGGAGGACTTTCGACCATGGGCCAAGGTGCCGATCTTGATGCTGCAGAAGGATGGACTTGACATCGACCTGAGCTGTTATAACCTGCTTCCACTGCTCAACACCCGACTCTTGCGAAGTTACACGCTCCTGAACCCACGGCCGTCGGTGGTGGTGGTCGCTGTGAAGCGCTGGGCCAAGGCACATCGAATCGCCAAGGCCCGTGATGGCTTTATCTCATCCTATGCCTGGACCCTGATGGTTATCTACTGATCAAGGACCAGCTTCCCTCTTTGCATCGAAACTCCCCCAATGATCTCTGGCAAAGGTGACTGGTGCCTTATCAATGCCTTGCCGGCCTTGATGCACAAGTCTGGATTTGAGTACTTGCATCAGGAAGACCTCAGATAGATTCGGAGTGGCTCGTGGTCGAAGGCGGGCCCTAGATCCCTAGATGAAAACGGGCAGAAGGAACCGTGATCAAAGGGCGGAATGAAAGAATTTAAGGTGTTGAAAGATCATGGCTCAACCATGCAAAGCCGTGCCCATTTTGTGCGGATGTTTGTGGGTTGTGAGCCTGGGGCTCAAGTGCATTCCTATGCTCATCATCTTGTGATTTTGGCCCTGTTTCGCCCCTGCCCGTTGCCAAAAGCATCCACTATCATTGTGGCAGTACTTACAACTCAGCCCTCCCAGTGGTACGTCTGGTTGCTTGTTGGAACGCGCAAGTAGTGTGATCCCATGAGTGTTTTGGTAACTTCTTTCTCAGGTGATTGGACCCGCCACCACAATTTGTTCACGTATGTTTGTGCGGCAGGTCACCATTCGCATTCTACCAAATGGTAGGGGGAAAATCACAAAACACATCAAAACACCGCGTTTACATGTTGTTTATGAATGTTTATGGTAGTATCGTGATGCATCATGTGGTATCTAAGTTTGCCCACGATCCATGAGGATCCCCCAATGGACAGCTGACCAACGTAAAGAGGCAACTGGAAAGACTCCAATGAGCAACTGGCTGGTAAATAAGTAGTATTAACATAGTATCACACCGTATCACCAAGTGTGACCATAGTCTAGCCATATGGAACCATATATACCCATAGTACAACGATAGCTTTTAGTTCGCTACTACACATGATTGTAAGCATTGTGTCCCACTTTCTGGAAGCTCTCCGCCTTGCTTAGGAGTTCAAATGCCAGTCCACTGTACCGGCAAATGTTCCTTGGCATGTTTCGCAGCAATGTCCTTCCAACAAATTCCTTGCAGGATGTTCAACGATGTTCAGAACGCGTATATGCTGATTATTCAGCTCTTGTTTCACTTTGACGTGTCCTCATTTGATTAACCTATGCCGACTCTCACACCTGTGTAATTAAGTGTGTTTAATTTTAATATACTGTAAGAAAATTATACATACATATATATACATACATATACATGGGTCTGTCCAAAAATAGGGTGTACCTTCTTTGATGGGGAAAATGATGACTACCCAACGGATTTAGAGGTACCATATTTTGAGACAAACCCATATATATATAATTATTCGAATAAAACATATGATTATATTTTTAATTAATACAATTATACATATATATGTATACATACATATTATATATGTACATACATATTTACATATATATATACCCATACCATGTCCTTGGCACAGGTAGCCAGTGTGACCTTTCGCACCTCCATGGGTGTGATGGGCCACCACGGACATCAAGTGGCTGGGCTAAAATTGGGAAATTGGGCCTACAGCCGGAGGGTGTGGAAGTGGATGGGGATACATACGTACATTACAAAGTATGTATATGTATTTATATGTATATATATATATTATTATATTATATCATATCATATCATATCATGTGATATTATATGATATTACATTATAAAATATTTTGTTTTTTGTTATTATATTATTTTACGTTTTATTATATTATTTTATAATGTTTTAATATGTTGTATTATATTATGCTATATTTCATACATACATATATATTATATTTTGTTTCATTACATTAAATTATGTTATGTTATATTATATTATATTATTGTTTTTTGTTTTTATTATTATATGATATGTCTTTTCATTTCATATATATATACTATATTATACTAGATGATTTGATATGATATTATTTCATTTCACATCATATCGTATTATATATATATATATTACCATATTAAATTATAACATATCATATTTTATCATTATGTATATATATATATATATATTGTTTCTTTTAATTGTATTATAACATATCATATTTTATCATATGTTATTTCAATATATGTTATGATATCATATATTATATGGTTTTATATATGCTATTTATTTTTTAAAATCATATTTTTATATTTATATGTTTTTAAAATTTATATATTTATGTATTTGATTATGTGTCTATTTGTGTATTCATCATGATTTATGAAAATGTATACATATATATATATATATACATATTATTATACATATACTGGGGTCTTGGCTCAAGTCGCATCTTCGTGTGGAAGTCACATTTTGATAGTTTTTACTCAAATTTTGTGATTTGATATGTGTACTAAATCATACATTATTGCTGTAATTTACCAGCGCGCGAGCTCTTTATTTCCATCGTTGACTTAGTTCCCCAATTGAGTTTTTTTCCTCGTGTAGGTTTTTGACTTCCTTGCGTTTGTGCTTGTGCTTGTGCTTGTGCTGCTGCTGATGCTGCTGGCTCTGACCGGTGCTGCTGCGCAAAGCAAAACTGCATTATGACTGTGTGCGTGCGCGCAATGTTGTGTTGATTTTTTTCTGGAGATTTCTGACTCAGCGGCGTGATGGGAGTTCAGTCGACAGCCCACTATCATATATATATATACATATACACATGAACTGATTTATTCTGGCACATTTTGTCCCAGAATTGAAACACAAATCTGCCGGGCATCCTCATGTTCAATGGGAAAACCAAGGTTTTCCTATCGTTTTTCCCTTCAACCGATCCGTTGATTTTGAAGATGGGAACGTTGAGGTCCCATTTCTGGATTTGTCGTTTCAATGATGAGGGGTATTACCAATACTCAAGCTCCAACTTACTGGTGCTTGGTAGGGAATGGATGGGTTGCTGGGGGTTGCTTGGATGATTATTACTAGTGATTATGGATCATTCCCGAAAATTCCCTGCGTTCAGCACCAGTAAGCCAAAGAGGGTGAACACATGTGAAAACTACTATTGGTGTTGTCTGAAAATTGGAAAGCCGGCAAGCCCTGAATCCATTGGATACTCATCATCAATCCTCTTGAAATTGGGGTCAAGGTGGCAGCCAAGCCCATTTGGCACAACTTTGTGGACAAGACCTGCTGCCCTTTGCGCAACGGTCCCGTGGCCAAGTTGCTGGAAAGTTCGGTGAACTGTTGGGGTTATGGAAGATATATCCATTGGTTTATAAATGGATGAAAGTAAACCAATTTTTTGATAATTGGAGGGCACCAACCGGTCGGGCTACCATGCAGTTGCGACTTGAAATACTTTTCAGATTTTGCAGGTGCCTCAACATGCTAGCATCTGTATGGCGTGTGTCAAAACATGGCGGGATGTGCCGATCTATTTCCAAACAAAGAACAACAAGTGACTGCGGGAAACCCAAGAAATGAAATTCGTAATCCAAAGAAGCAGACAGAGAATAAGTAAGCCTCCTCCAGCCACGCCCATTAGGACCGCTTGAATGTTTCAGCCGTGATTATTTGGTGCCCAAGTGGTGGGTTCAATCAATTGCATTTTGATGGATTTGTTCCTGTCATTTTCTTCGAGACATGGTTGAAAAATCCCATTTATCCATTTACACTCCTATTTACATTGACGACCCGGGGGGGGACGCGCATGTTTTTATTTCATCATTACACTGCAAATACTCGTGTATACAATATAAGAGTATGAGCATGTATTAGTATATTATAGTATATTTATGAATAAAGTGCGTAGACAACCCATGAAAACATTGAAAACCCCATTCAAAAACCATGATTTTCCAGCCACATGTTTCACTACCTGCGGTCCAGCAGGGGCCCGGTCCGTCAGCCTTTGAGGAGAAGAAATTGATTGGGACTTCAAGCAGTCGGTGGCTGGGAAAGGATGCGAAATCTCTGCGTCTCGGTTGGGGAAAATGGTTGGCGTTTGTTGGATAGAAAAGCAAGGAAGATGGTGGTCATACCGATAAAACATGATAAAACCAGATATTGGAGGTTTAACCAAGAAAATATATTTTTTTTGATGGATGCATTTCGTGATATTATATCCCACAAAATGGTATGAACTGATAATATCATATAATTTATAAGTGGGGTTTAATCCCAAGTAAGTAATGGTGGTTTAGATGGGGATACTCGGGATATTGATGATGCTTATGAAGATTGGATCATGGAAAAGAGCAAGGTACAGTGGCCCGCTGCTGGAGAATTCCTTGAATTTGGACCTGAAAGCTGTGGTAATCAAGGGTCCTGAACTTGGTCGTTGTTTGGAATCCCACGTTCCGAAAAAATGGGCGAAAAAAAAAGTTGGTTTATAGGCCACATACACGTAGATATATATGTAGGATTGATGGATAAATCTGGCGGATAGATCTACAATGATCTACATTTGGAATTCATTTGGAAGGATTCATTAACCAACTTATAGTTGGATGGCACTTTGTACGGCTTGTTGATAGGGCAGTGCCTCTTTTGGCCATGTTTAATTCTCATCCTTTGCAAGATCCAGCATTCGGATCCATATCCATTGGTTTCTATGGTAGCATCACAAACAAACAGGAACCATGAAACCTTGGGGATTCAACATGGATTTGTCTGGGGATTTCCAGAGATAGCCCATGACGATTTGCAAACGGTGTGTTTTTTTCAAAGACATCGTTTTCATAAAATGGTGATTTTCCATAGTTTTCCCATTAAAAATGGTGATGCATCCATGATCTCCAAGTGACCCTCCAATCATCATCCTTTGGCCCGGCCATTTGGCCCCCAAAAAAAATCGACCGAACCTGGGCCGACTTCAAGAAAATACGCGTTATTTTATCTTTTTTGGGGGGGGTGCGAAACTTGGTGTTTCAAATTTGCCCAGATCCTGAGGTGGAGGTTGACTTTCAGAAATGAGAGTCATTGCAAGCTGCCAGTGATGGCCGCAACATCTGCGGTGCTGGCTAATTCAAGTTGCAAACAGGTCCTGTGGACGCCCGAATCTCGGGATGTGATGACGCCATGGA